TCTTCGATCTTAATAAATCTACACATTGAGTTAGTATTTCTTGTTCCTTTATTCTTAGATCTAATGGTGTTAGATATTTAGATGATATATTTGTAGTCAATATGTTTCTGTTTCAATTGTTGTAAAGAATCTATATTGTTTTTAATATTCAAATGTTTGAAGTTTTGGAAAATAACACTTGTTAAAATTCTTGATCCTTATCATATTTATTCAATGAGAAAGTATGACCCGGTAAGCACATAACCAAGTAAGCTTTTGATAAACGACCCACTAAATTAGCTATTGCTTTTGCAAACTCTATTGAATGTTATTTCTTAACAATCTTTCTTTCGATTTGTTTATGACAATTTTATATTTATATGGAGTTCTTCAAATTTCATACTTTCTTCATTTTGGAGAATATGTTGAACATTTTTTCATTTCTTCATTTTGGAGAATATGTTGAACATTTTTTCATACTTTTGCAAGTGAAGAAGTTAATCCTGAAAATAATTACAATAACAAATATGTTTGTCTTTTTAACTATTTCACATAAACTATTCGTTTTTATCACGATGGTTGCACCGCCATTTCTTTTCCATGGGAATCAAACATAGATATATTATACAAAAGTGTTGTCTGATTGGTTTGAGCTTGCCTCCAAAAGTTAAAAGAACCGGGAGGTCTTAGGTTCAAATCCAAAGAGGAATAAAAATCTTCTTGTGGCCACAGAAGTTCAAATGCATTGACTTCGGGCTATCTGCAAACCGGTGGTCGTCCTGCGATTAGTCAGCTCACATAACATGTTGGATATCTAGATTAATAAAAAAAATTGAGATATCAAAATTATGTAAATTTTGAAGAAACTTTTACATCATGTCATTGTGCGGCTATACAACTAGTATATATATATATATATACACGAAAAAGTTCAAACGAGAACACCTTTATTTTGCGAGAACGTGAGAACATTCTTTTACTATAGACAATCACATGTGATACTATTATTCTATCACATATGACACACATATGATACTATTATTCTATCACATATGATACACATGTGATACTAAATCAGAGATGCAAACGATTTTCGATGCGATCTTGGTTGCGGGCCATGTCGCCCTTACACCACTAAGCCCCTTTACATGTATTATCACATGTGATGGTCTTGAGTATCATATCAACAACACCCTTATCACATGTGATGCTAAATCATAGACGCAAACAACCTTTGGCGCGGGCTAAGTCGTAGAACACGTCGTCCGCACATCACAGGGTCTCCTCACACGTATTATCACATGTGATAAGGATGTTCTTGCGTTCTCGTTTTACGAAAACGCAAGAATACCCTTTTACTATAGACAATCACATGTGATATTATTATTCCATTACGTATGATACACATGTGTACTTAATCAGAGACACGGCCGATTTTCGATGCGATCTTGGTTGCGGGCTAAGTCGCCCTTACACCACTAAGCCCCCTTACATGTATTATCACATGTGATAAGTGTGTTGTTGATATGATATTATAATTTATCAAGACCATCACATGTGATGTTAAATCATAGACATGTACAACCTTTGGTGCCGCCTAAGTCATAGAACACGTCATCCGCACATCATGGGGTCCTTTCATGCATATTATCACATGTGATAAGGGTGTTCTCGCGTTCTCTCCACCTATATATATATATATATATATATATATATATATATATATACACACGAAGGATTGTATGAGACCATTTGTTGTTGATTGGAGGAACTTTGGTGCCGCCTAAGTCATAGAACACGTCATCCGCACATCATGGGGTCCTTTCATGCATATTATCACATGTGATAAGGGTGTTCTCGCGTTCTCTCCACCTATATATATATATATATATATATATATATATATACACGAAGGATTGTGTGAGAATTGAGAAGCATAAGAATAGATCTGATCCTTGATCCCCTTTAATCTCAAACCCATCGATGAATTGCGGTTGGTTTGCGGATTGATCCGGTACATCTCGTTGCATCTCATCTCAGTGCATCTTATTCTAATGTGTGTTCAAAGATGGAGATACCTTATTACATTTCTCATATTAACTCTTCGTCTTACCGGAACCCAACTCTCTCTCTCTCTCTATATATATATATATTGAAAATTAAATTTTAAGTAAGACAAATAAAATTTAATATTAACATAAAGTAATAAAATACAAATTCATAGGGTAATAAAATACAACGACGAAAAGTTATTGTTCCGAATTGGTTATTCATGACCTACAACGCACAACATAACAAACAACATGGAGTTGAATTGCGAAAAAGATAAGAAAAGAAAACATAAAAAGAATGTGAAAAAAAAAAAAGATATTAAGAGTCGAAATTTAGTATGCAGACTTAATGGCAAAGAAGGTCTGAACCACGGTAAGAACAAACAAGACGATTCCAGCAAATAGAGCAACAATATTCCATGGACTACTGAAATAAGTTCGTTTGAAGCGTGCAACAGTTTTTGGGAAGCAATGATTGTAGTGGCTATCCATCATTTTCCACTCTTTATCATAAAAGAAATGTTCCCATGGAACTTCTTTGCATATGTTGTTCATCATATTAGCAGCCTCTTCGTTCGAACTCAGTGGCGGACGCAGTAAGGAGGGGKTGGGGTCCTGGGCCCCCAACAAAAATCTTATATGAAGGCCCAAATTTTTTTTTTTTACTTGTATTTTGAGATTTGGTGTAATTGGGCCCCCAACAGGATGAGGTAGGAGGCCCCTCCCTCTTCAGCCAAGAAACGAGTTGTGAATCTGTGAATCGTAATTGTGAATGAAGGCCGAAGGGAGTGAAGAAGAGTGAAGCTGTGAGCCTGTGAAGACATACCTGAATACCGTGCGTCTAGGCGTGAGGCGTCTAGGCGTGAGGCGTCTAGGTCTAGTGACTGCGACTTCGATTCTTCGAATCTGCCATCTGCGACTGTGCTGTCGCCTCGCCTGCACCGTGCGTCTGTGCTGCCGCCTGCACCGTGCCGTGCGTCTGTGCTGCCGCCTCGCCTCGCCTGCCTCAGGCCTCTGCTCTGCCTGCCGGCTGCCGGCTGCCGCCTGTGGGCTGTGGCCCTGTGCGGCTGTGCGCCACTGCGCTGCGCCTGCCGCCTCCCGTCCTCCCGCCTGTGCGCGGCTGTGCATGTGGCCGCTGTGCGCCTGTGCGCCTCCGTAACCTTAAGTCCTTAACCTAGGTAATTTCTATTTTCTAATTTGTAATTTCTGCCATTTGAGCCACTATTACTCTATTAGTAATTAGTAAATGCTTTAGAGTTTAGCCTTTAGGTTAGGTTTTTTTTAGGTTAATTTTGTTGGTAATTGGTAAATGCTTTAGGTTAGGTATTTTATTTTTAGGTTAATTTTGTTAGTTAATTTTGTGGTAATTGGTAAATGYTTTAGGTTAGGTATTTTAGGTTAATTTTATTGGTTAATTTTGTGGTAATTGACTAATTGGTTAATGCTTTAGGTTACGTAATTTTAGGTTAATTTTGTTGGTTAATTTTGTATGTTAATTTTTTTAGGTTAATTTTGTTGGTTAATTTTGTGCCCCCTACAATATTTTTTTCTGCGTCCGCCACTGTTCGAACTCATGTTGGCGACGAGTACTTTTGACTGTACCAACTTGGCAATGTCGTCTTGAGTGTTCACTAGCATATCCATAGCCATGGCATATGATGTAATGTAATTGAGATCTCCAGACGATTGCTCGTACGCAATGAGGTTCCTTAAAACCGACTCGGTGAAATGATGAATGTTCAATACTGGCATTCTGAGAGTAGGCTTATCCCAATACCATGGGAACCTGTAGAATTCCACTTCCATCGCCATTGCCCACTTTGTATCTTGGCTGTTTGGCTTAAAGTTCACCCCTGCTCTATCCAGTTCAACGACTGAGTGCATTGCTGAGTTTGAAAATTCTGATACAATATTATCTTGAGGCTCGTAACATCTGTGCAGAATAGAAAGAATGTGATGAGGCATTGGATCAATGGAGATATGGCTGGTCCTTAGCTTTGTTTTGAAGAGGTTGACGAAAACTAGAAGTTCACTAATGAGTTGAATGACAGTGACGCATGGATCTATTTTGAAGATAGTGCACTGAAATATGTCATTAAGAACAAAGAAGGGGATCTGATTTTCTAGAAGCACCAGGTCGTAACTAACAGATTGGGCTTGTAATTGCAACTTTTTTCCGGAAAACGAGTAAACGAATTCGAGTATGAAACAAGCATCCATGACCATCATTTTGACAAAATCAAGGTCGTTGATCGTGGTGGTATCTAATCCTTGATAACATGCCTTGATTTCGCCTATTGAATCCTTCACCTTCTTCACACATTCTCCCAGTATTTGGTCTTGTGGGAACTTGAGTTCAGCTAAACGGTTCAATAGAGCTTTAAGATAAGTGGCTTTTTCCACTTGAAATGCATGCACATTTATTTTATTTCTGTGCAGAGGTCCAATAGAGACCACCCGCGGGTTGAAAGACCTTGCGCTGAGATTCCGGAGAGAACTATGAACCTTGTGAATGAACGGTGAACGTCCTCGGTTGGTATGATTCTGTTCTTCAATAGAAGCAACAATAGTTTGAACAGTTTCTTGAATGAAATCATGATTTCCTCCATGCTCCACATCCACATTTCCCATTGAAGGTGTTCCTGTAGCTAGCTGTTAGACAAAATATAAAGGGTCAGAGAGTATATACAACTAAGAAACTTAAAGGGTACTGAATAAGATTACCTTCTTGGTTGGTCCTTCCTTATTGTATGGTTTTGTAGTCAGTCAAATAATGAAACAAACATAACGAAAAATTAATACAGCTGCCTGAAATCAGTTCAGTGTCTTAATTTGTCGTCGGTGTTCCACTAAAAATATAACTTTGGAGGAAGACTTGCAATTCAAAGTCGTTGTATAATTGTACGTAAGCGGGCGAGGTCACATGCATGTGTTACCTCCATTCATTTGAATGAGAAATATCATGTCAGAAGGTAGATAGGCAAAGTTCTTACTATTTATGAACCTAATAAATGCTAGCCCAAACGATGCACTCTCAGTATTTGCACTCGAGAAAACTACATAAGAATTTTAACATGCATGTGGTTAAAAACCATTAATTTGGACTAATGAAAAACTACCCTTAAAACACAACGCGATTGCGATTGTTATCCCGTTTCTGAATAAATATTCATAATAAGATTATAAGAAAGACACGTTAACTTTACTTTCATGATAGGAGAGTAAATAATTTCTCTCATTTCGGAATTAATTATAGAAGTAGAAAAATTAAGATGTAAACGTGGACACTTATTTTAAGTTCCAGGAGAGCTATTTTCATTCCAAGGACTCGACATGAACTTTTTTGCGATATGATATAGGATCACGTTACTCAAACTAAAATCAGACGTATAGAGTCCTCGTAAATATAAGGATAGAGAAGTTCAATGTGTTGCACAACCTTAAAAGGGGAAAAAAGGAAATTAGAGAAAGAATCAAAATTACGGAAAACTAATTTGTAATGTAACTTCTAATGATACTCTATACCATGACAAGAAAAAATGAATGTGTTGTGTGGCAAACCCTCAAGCAACTCGCACATATATACTAGATTGCAACAATTTTTAATTGTGGTATTTGGTATCTAGTTTATGTTGTGATCTGTGACATCAATCCACGAGGCTATGCGAGCTTTGAATGATGACCAGATCGCAACTGCAAATCACAGAGAAGAAGGGTGAGTATTGAAGAACTTATGGTAGACAATTTGCGAGTTAGGGCAGGTTTTATGGATTGTGGGCAAATCCGAACAATGAGATCGCATAGGCCATCTACAATCTTGGTACAAGATAGCGAGCCAAGCCTTGCGATGTGTGTGCCATATAGATGGAGACTGCAAGTTGCTGAAAAGACACATGGAGGATGCTAGGTAGGATGGCATTCAAGTTTCCGATCTCAAAAGAGAAGCTAGGGTTCATTCTTGTTGTCAAGTGCAAAAGGTTTTTTAATTGTAATTGGTAAGAACATCCATATAGTATTCTTTCATCATTAATGTATGACAACCGTCTCCCCCTGGATGTATCCCATCGAACCATGCAAGGAGGATAAACATCACCTGACCTAAATTTTCACGTCCTAATTTCACTGGTGGGACATGTGAGACGTGTCATTTTGAGACAGGTATTTTTTTTTATCCATGCAAAGAAGATGCAAATTTTTATCAATGGTAGCACAAAATAATTACCTTCATATAAAATAAAATAAATAAAACAATTACAAATATGGGATTTTTATTATGGTTACAGATATTCAGAATAAGTTATTTTGCCACTGTCCCAAAGTTAGTTATTCAAGAGTTAGCAGTTAATATGAAGGGTGGCAATGATACTGAATCGGTGCAACTCCTTCTTGCACACACACACATACACACATATATATATATGTATATATATGTATATGTATGTATGTATGTATATATATATATGTATATGTATATGTATGTATGTATGTGTGTATATGTATGTATGTATGTATGTATATGTATGTATATGTATGTATGTATGTATGTATATGTATGTATGTATGTTTCCTTTCATTTCAAGTTAGTAATATCAATAAGATCAGATTGTAACATTGTCTTTACTCTAATCAATAAAGTGATTATCATTTCTAAGTATTGTATCTTCTATTTTTTTCCAATAAACTAGTATCAAAGCCTAATGGCTTCAAGTTCAAATGGATTGCAACCATAACTCCCTAAACTCAATGGACGAAACTACCATCAATGGAGTATTCAGATGCGAGTTTTATATGAATCCCAAGACCTTTGGCAAATCAATGAAAGCTGATACTCAGAACCAAGAGACACAATATCATTATCGACTTAACAGATTAATGATCTAAAAGAAAGTAAGAAAAAAGACCGAAAAGCATTGTTCTTCATCTATCAAGCTGTGGATGAAGTTATATTTGAACGGATTTCCACCTCAACAACATCCAAACAAGCCTAGGACATGTTAGAAAAGACATACACGGGGTAGAAAAGACATACACGAGGAAGAAAAGGTGAAGATTATCAGGCTACAAACCTTGAGATGCGAATTCGACAACTAACGAATGAAAGAGTTAGAATCGATTGAAGAATACTATAATTGTTCTTCTTGTGAAACAGATGCGAATTAACGGAGAAACAATTGAGGACAAAAGAGTCATAGACAAAATGCTTCATAGTTTGACTAGAAAATTCGAATATATCATTGTCGTCATTGAAGAGTTTAAGGATATCTCAAGTATGTCCCTAGAAGATTTACTGGGAACGCTGGAGTCTCATGAATTAAGGCTAAAACAATTCGACACACCCTCTACTGATCAAGCATTTCAAATAAAATCCTCTTAGACTAAATCAAACGATCCTAAAGATGACCCAACGAACAACACAAATAAAGAAAAGAGTAAAGGGAGACCGTTATAACAAATACAATGTTACTATTGCCATCAATTCAGACACACAAAAAGGTTTTGCAAGAAGCGAATCGTAGAAGAAAGCGGTACTAGTTTCATACATAGGGAAGATGAAGGCGATCAGGACACGGTTTTCATGTTGTTCGTGACACAAGAAGAAACAAAAGATGATGTGTGGTATCTCGACAGCGGGTGTAGGAACCACATGACCGGAAAGAAAGAATTCTTCATCTCAGTCGACGAATCAATAAAGAAGAAAGTTCGAACTAAAGGTGACAAAAGATTAAATGTTGAAGGAATTGGTAATATTTCTGTAATCATGAAAGATGGTTCGAAGAAAATTCAAAACGTGTACTTTGTTCTAGGATTGAAACATAATCTCTTGAGTATCGGGTAACTCATGTTGAGAGGATACGATTTGCATTTTAGGAACGACTCGTGCGAAATTAGAGATGGAAGGAACAACTTGTTGGGAAAAATTCATATGACTACCAACAAGATGTTTCCATTAAGATTCTCAGAAGATACTTCATTTGCTTTCAAAACAACCATATCTTAGACAACACAACTCTGGCACAAACGTTTTCGACACGTAGACATTGGATATCTAATTCATATGAGTAAGCACAACTTGGTCAGAGGCTTACCGTCCCCATCTCTCCCTTTGAAGAAGATTATGAAAGTTGTGCATTAGGAAAGCATGCACGAGAATCGTTTCCCCAAGAGAGCAACTGGAGAGCATCGAACCCACTAGAACTCACACATACGGAAATATGTGCGCCAATGAGAACACCTTCTATTGGGAATAACAGGTACGTGTTGACCTTTATTGATGATTATAGCAGAAAACTTTGGTTTTACTTCCTAAAAAAGAAGTCAGAAGTATTTAAGCGATTCAAGATCTTTAAAACGTTCGTTGAGAGACAAAGGGATAAAAAATTAAGGTTTTGAGGCCAAATCAGGGAGGAGAGTATAAGAGCAATCAATTTCAAGAGTATCTCCAAGAATATGACATCTTACACCAATTCACTACACGTTACACCCCCCAACAAAACGGGGTGGCAGAGAGAAAGAATAGGACATTGTTGGAGATGGCGAGAAGCATGTTAAAGGAGATGAACCTGCCAAATGAATTGTGGGCAGAATCTGTTGCTTGCGCTGCCTATATACAAAATAAATCACCCACCAAAAGCCTCTAAAATGCAACTCCTCAAGAAAAATGGAGTGGACATAAACCCAGCGTTGCTTACCTTAATGTATTTGGTTGTGTACCCTTCTCGTATATACCTGACCAAATTAGAACAAAATTAGATGACAAATCCGAAAAACTATATTTATCGGTTATAGTGAATGTTCTAAACCCTATAAGTTATTCAATCCTACCACCAAAAGGATTGTTGTTAGTCGAGATGTCATATTTCATGAGAACAAAAGATGGGACGGGACAGTCTCTACAACAAATTATAGTCCAATTCTAGTTAATGACATTGATGGAAGTCCAAGGCAAGAAGAAGATTAGGATCCACCCAACTCACCCATTCTATCTAATAACATCTCCATTAAATGATAATCAAGAACCATGTTAGCTCTCATTCCTTGAATGTAAAAGTATAGAAAAAGTAAAACAGCAAGTTTTGACAGAAGCTAATCTGTCACAGAAGACCACAGAGGACAATCAACAGAAGAAGCTCAATCGTACAAGATTCAAGTGACAGAACCTCTGTCATCCATCACAGAGGTTCTGGAAACTTGTCCTCTGCAAAGACCATGCTACAGTCAAAGACGACAGAACCTCTGTCGTGTCTCACAGAGGTTCTGGAAGATTTCCTCTGCGTGCTACAAAGTTCCATCCAGCAGAGCCTCTGTGATGTCTCACAGAGGATCTGCAGAAATGTCTTCTGTGTAGATTATCTTTAGCTCGTTTTACTTAGGTTTATTAGCTGCTCGTGACTTTCACGTGATCTTTTCTGTAATCTGTTTTAGATGAACGGCTTAGATTTAATTGCTTTAGGTCGTGTCAGGAAACGGTTACTTGCCTGTATAAATAGCAGCGTAGGCCTTTGTATTTTGTATGCTTCCAGAATTGTAATTGTCAATATTTTCAATCAATTGAAAATCATTTGAAGCTTTTCTCTTCRTGTTATTCAAGTGTTCTTCATCGTGTTCATACCAATTGCTGCTTGTTTGATTATAATATTTTCCGCTGCTTACTCACTGTCAATCCAATCAATCAAGTAAGTATTCAGTACCAAGAACTGAGTTATACGATCCTAACAATTGGTATCAAAGCAGGAATCAAATTTTAATTTGATTATTTCTGTACTTGGTATTCATTCATTTTTTCTCAAGAACACAGTCGCCTTCTTCATCAGTTTATCCCGTTTTTCACTGTTTTATCAATCCTCTCCTATTTTCTTTTAATTCTTCTTCATTCAATGGCAAATATGGCCAATACATCGTTTATGAGTACGGGTTTACAGTCTAAACTACCCACGCTCATTCGTGAGGAATTTCCTCAATGGAAAATCCGAATGGTGAGTTTTCTTGAGGGTATTCATCCTAGGATTTGCGAATTCCTGTACAATCCTCCTTA